TATTGGGCCACATACTGAGGACTGATTACAAAGACCCCATGAGACAAGTCATATTTGATCCATATACAACTAGACCCAGACTTGAATACAGACGCCCAGGTAAACCACGAGCATCATGGCTTCTAGAATCTTTCAAGGATGCTTTTACCCTTTTAGGACGGACTGAAAACTATGATGACAATAGCAACGAGCATCACCAGTTTATCATTCAACAGGCTCAAACAAGACAGGGAATATTTGCCACAAAAACGCATAACAGCTGAATATATAGCTCGAGCTGCATCATCGAAAGCTCATCACCGAATGATCATCACCGAATGTGCCTGACAGTGGATGCGATGCACCACTACCAGGCGACCGTTGCAAAAATGTACGACATCAAATCTTCATCACCGAACGTTTCGTCACCGAATGTATGGCGCAGTGCTGCGACGTCGAGGCAAGATGCCCGTCTGCACCTAACATGTTCTCCTGGGTCTGCAAGACAGACACATAGATACACTGTTTGCTGTACGCATTTTGGTTCTTCCCCTCCCCATATTTGCACCTTTATTCCTCCTCACTTCACAGGCAGTAAATTGTTTAAAACTAGACCGCTTCAAATTTTGTCTCACCCTGCCGCCGCCCTCAGATCTTTGACCATCCTCTCTTTTATTTTGTCCCCTGGCTAGGTTTCTGTGCTCAGACTGACAGTCTGCACGTAGGAAAAAAACGTGGGGTCGCCATCCAAGTGATCAAGCCCCAGACGCAAGACATGAATCTTCTTAGACTACAAATCCTTGTCGTGAAGCTCGCGGAAGCAATGAAGCGAAACGCATCGGCGGAAACATCTGCGAAAGCAGGACTGGCATGTGATCCGTTCAGAGGGGCCGAGAGCTTGCGGAAGCACCGCTGGGCGGAAGGGTTGTTATTTCCATTGAACGATAGCAGCCATTTTGGAGCACGTCTCAATATTATCCTTATCGTCATCATGATCGTCATCGTTAAAGTTCTCCGCCACCTCCTCCTTTTCCTTTCAACGAACCATGAGCACCCGTTTCTCTATGTCTGAGCAGGGCAAGTTCTGGGAAGAGCTTGCGGAGAAGCAGCGGCAGCTCTACAACCGCAAGCTGGAGAAGGTCCAAGCGACATATTTAAGGGTTTCCTTCTCTCCGTTGCGTGCCTTTCTTTCATAGCCCTGGAACGTGTCATGGGACTGTTGGCACGTGTGTTCCGTACGCTATGTGCCCACCTTGTCCCCCTCAGCCTAGCCCGAAGAGCTTTCGTTCCCCACCCAAAGTTATTTCATAGCCTTGAAATGTGTCATGGGCGAGGTGGCAATACGTACACAGGCGTAAGATATCCGAGCGGTGCCTTCAGCTACGAAGAAAATGGTCCTTGTCAGTCATGGCAAAGCTAACCACAGGCTTTCCAGAAGGAGTTTGTGCCCCACATGCAACTGATGGAGAGTGCCAGGGGTTTCGGTTTGGCAGATAATAATCTGAGACAGCCAAGGAATCCGAATGGAGTATTTTCATCTGGCACCCGGCACAGTGCAAACAACGCCTGACGCCCCTGCTAAGCCAAGACTTCCGTTTGGTGCCGCTAATCTTGGGAGCTTCTAAGAAATCCCCCAAGAGCATGTACGATTCTGTGCAATACTCCCTAGTACAGGAACCTCCAGAAGGGACCCTATATGAGTACATAGAGAGAGTGGGAAGTGTTGGCCAGAGAAAGCAAGCATTTGGCCTGTTTGCTATATCATGGTCGTTTGGGAGTGACACTTCTGGTGCCCAAGAATGGATCATACTTGTGGGATGATCTAAATGTCGTTCTTGAGAAGCTTAACGGAAGTACGGGAATTTGATCCACTACGACTGAAATTAAGGGAGCTGCCAATATCATGGCACGACTTTGGCTGATCAATGCCCCTGACTCCGTCAGACTTCAGAGAGAGGCGGCCACAACAGTGAGAAGCGAACGACCCCCTTATCTTTCACCCGCTAACGTGGGGGTTAAAAAGTTTAGAGTTTAGGCAAATGAAAATCGGCGTGGGCGGCTTGGGCATCTGTTGGGGTTGGAACACAATTTTTTGCGCTCGTCAGGTGCGAGCCACTGCGGAAGCCATCCTTGGCCCAGGCGGGAGGGGAGCACGACTTAAAGAGGCTTCCAACTCCTCGAATACCCCAAATACCATGCTTAGCCGCTAGGGAGGAAAAAAGAAAAAAAGTAGATTATACTGCTAATACCGTCTGATACAATGGAATGCGACAAAATACTGTGTAATACAATGCAAGACACTATTCTACAGTGTCATACAAAAGAAAACAAGACAATACAACATAATAGAATACTTTGCTATACTATACAAAACAAAGTAATTCAACATATTGCAATTAAATACTTTGCAATACAATATAACACAGTATAATGCAACATATTACAAGATAATACGATAGCATACCATGTCATACAACACAATACAACATACGACAATACAATACACACAATGCAAGATAATACAATCGACTGCGACATATCGCAATATATGACAATAGATTACAATATACTACAATATAACGGAATTCAAAACAAGACAATAGCTCAAAGCAAGACAAGAGAATGAACAAACACAAGCTTGGCCTTACTGTGGCTCTCCCTGACAGGATGCCAGTGTGATGAGTACTTCACCACTGCATTTTTGTAGCAAGTAGGTGGGATTGCAAGTGGCTTTGCGGCAAATGCGGTCACGCGTGGACCCCTTGTCAAAAGGCACGATCGCAAGCGCCCTGACACTTCCCAGAAGCGAATGCGGTCACTTCTCTAAAATGTGGCCCCGATTTAGGGTCCTTATTCTGCGGCGGCCCGGCCCCTCTTATTCAGGGTCCCCAAAAGAACCAGAATTCAGAGAACTGACCATTACTTAGGGTACCCCAAAAGAGAACTGACCATGCCAAGTCTTGTCCTCCACAGGCATGGCGCCCTCTCCACCGCCCTCACCTCCGGAGGAGGAGGAGGAGGACCTGGAAAAGAGGAGTCTATGAACGCTTCAAGGTTGTTGAGGCCTCTTGTGGCTCCTCTCCTGTTTGAGGGCTAAGATGTGCAGCTTCGGACCCTCAGAACATCTGAGAACCAGAGCAGGGCAAGTTGATACCTCCATAGGACTTCTTTGCCTGGGCCAAGCAAGCCGCGGCGTACTTCAACCCAGAGGCTGAGGCGTGTTGGGAGAACCATCTAGCTCCGCTTTTCAACGTGACATACTCGGTGCACGTATTGAAGCCACTGAAGTCACTGCCCGCGCAATGCTTTGTTTAGTGGAGTTCCCTTGCGTGGGACAACCGCCGTGCCTTCACGGTTCCAGTTCCAGAACCTGCCCTACGCTAGGAGCAGGGTGCAGATGCTGAGAAGCCTCTCGAAGAGCAAGCTCCACCTGCAGAGGAGACGTTGCGAGATCTCGGGCTTCATGGTCTCGCAACACAAGGTTAAACGCACTTCTTGCACCTGTAAGTTGGCAGTCGGTCTATCGTCGGTAAATGCATACACAGAAATTCCGAGCCATAAACCCTAAACCCTAAACCCTAAACCCGAAACCCGAAACCCCAAACCCTAAACCCTAAACCCTAAACCCTAGTCCGGCTTCTTTCGCTGACGCTTTGGCGACGCTTCGGGCTTCGAGGAGCCGGGGCCGGTAGATTTGGAAGAGCACCCGGACATCGTTCCTGGCAACGAGGCTGAATGAGTAAACCCTAACCCTAAACCCTAAACCCTAAACCCTAAACCCTAAAACCTAAACCCTAAACCCTAAACCCTAAACCCTAAACCCTAAACCCTCAACCCTAAACCCTGACCCCGCCTAACCCTCTTCAAGTTTTCAAGCTTGTCTCATGTCTGAGGTACAGAGCTGGCGGTGCTCCAGGCTTGCAGGGCTGCACAGTTTGAGAACAGAACTTCGCTTCGTGAGTCGGAGTTGAGGTTTAGGGGGCTAGGGGTTTAGGGTTTAGGGTTCAGGGTTCAGGGTTCAGGGTTTTGGGTTGGGATGTTCCCCCTTCCATTTTCCATCATTATTCGGGCGGGATTATGGTACCCCGTAGTCTAATCCGTAGTAAGGAGGGTTTAGCTCCCTCTCAACCAAAAATCTAAAGCGGCACTATTCCCTGTAAATGCGGAATCCTCGCAGCTTGCTATAGGTGTGCTGTTGTTGTCCTTTTCGAGAATGATCCATGCGATCCCCTAAGAATCCCTAAACCCTAAGCGTGTGGAGCCCTGAATTCACTTCCTCAGGACTCCTCCTCTGAGGAGATCTCCGAATCCTCTGAGGCCTCTGGTATCGAGCAGGCACCTTCTGGCGTGCTCAACATTTTCGTATAATAGGTAACGTATACACGTCTGGAATCTAGTGAATGGTAGAAGGTATCAGTAGGCGTCACTTGAGGGTGCTTTGCAACTCTGGTGGGGCGGAGTTTTGGTTTCGAGGTTTCCCATGAGGATGTAGGGTTTAGTCCTTGGGTGGCTAGGGATAGGGTGTGGTTGACAAGGCGGGGGAGAGGCAGGAAGGGGAGGGGATTGGGTCACCGCGCGCCGATATGTAGGAAAAAACATTTCGATTTATCTATATATATATATACATGCACATACAGATACACAAAATTATATATATATATACATACATACATACATACATACATACATACATACATACATACATACATATGTGTATTTGCACAGATATACAAACTGGTATATGTGTATACATTTCTGAATTTTACCTATATAACATGTATGTACACATGTAATCACAGCTTCGGTTTGCTGGGATGTGGATCGACGCTGTGGATCGCAGAGTTGCGGAACATAAGCCCTAAACCTTATATGTATATGTATAAGTATATGTACATGTATATGTGTATGTATATGTGCATGTGTATGTGTATGTGTATGTGTATGTCTATGTCTATGTCTATGTCTATGTATATGTATATGTATATGTTTGGAGGGTTCGTGTTTTTGGGTCTAGACCCGGCATGAAATATATAGGTCTGTGTCCCAAGATGGTTTACTCATTTCATGCACATTGACGGCTGGGGTCCCCCGCCAGTTGGTGTCGGCCAGGTGGGCGGTCAGTTTGCCGATGGGCCCCGGGCCCAGCGCAAGCGGCGGGCAGCGCTGCAAAAAGTGCGGAGGCAGGGTGCAGGACGTGGCTGCCAGGACGAGCCCCAAACCCCAAACCCTAAACCCGAAACCCCACACCCTCTACCCTAAACCCGACTTTGCCACAGGCGGCCAAAGCCCAAGGCCCTGGCTGCTTCTCTTCCCATCACGCCGGCGCAGTGGGTGGGGCACAGAAAAGCACAGCGGGTTTGGCAACAGTCTCTTGAGTGCCCTGACTCTCGGTGGTTTAGGGTTTAGGATTATGGGTTTAGGGAACCCCCCTTTCCTCTTGTTTAAGTGGGCCTGAAAGGTTTTGGTCGTTCGAGCCTTCTCGCAGGCTGCCGCTGCTGCTGCGGCCCGTGCCCAGAGCGCTGAGAAGTTGAAATCCCCGGTGCACCGTCGAATGTCCGGGGGTTTAGGGTTTTAAGGTTTCGGGTTTCAGGTTTCGGGTTGTGTTGTTCTCGGTGTGGGCTGTGGGAGTGCGGGTAGCCTTGCAGTAGCCCTTCAGTTCTTCTGGTCTAGAGGTCCTGATCTTGAGGCCCCAAACCCCAAACCCCAAACCCCAAACCCCAAACCCCAAACCCCAAACCCCAAACCCCAAACCCCAAACCCCAAACCCCAAACCCCAAACCCCAAACCCAAACCCCAAACCCCAACCCCAAACCCCAACCCCAAACCCCAAAACCCCAACCCCAAACCCCAAACCCCAAACCCCAAACCCCAAACCCCAAACCCTAAACCCCAAACCCCAAACCCCAAACCCCAAACCTCAAACGCCAAACCCCAAACCCTAAACCCTAAACCCTAAACCCTAAACCCGAAACCGAGAAACCGAGGCTGAGTGGGCAGCAGCACGTGCCCGAGCTCTTGCGCCTCGCCTTGACAGATGACCACCCCTCGGTTTCAACGTTTAGGGTTCAGGGTTTCGGGTAGAACATAGTTGGATTTTGAGTCTGGTGGACTGTTGACTGTTGCCCTCACGAAATGAGAGACATACCAATCATAGCGGGAGTTCCATAAACGGCCTTGGAAAATCTGGCCTAAGTGCCTTATGACCTACACTCGCAATGTGAGACAGGGGTTTCGCAGTACGAGACAGGGGTTTCGCACCAAGTGAAATTTGTCACAAACATCTCCGGCGCCGGGGCTTTTGCGAATTCTTCCTGTCGTTGGAGCATTTGGCTCTCAGCTCTGGGTTAATTTAGACGCACAGCACCTCTGAGCCATGGCAGGCTTCAAGATTGGGTGGTGTGCCGTGCTTCTTGCACCCCTTGTGGTAGAGGTCTCTGCGAGCTGCGCAGACTGCAAGGGCATATGCCTGGTGAACAACTGCAAAAGCAAAGGGCTCGACTTGTTCGTGGCCTCGCAGACCGAAGCCCAGCATGCTGCGGAGAGCTTCTCCTGCCACACACATTTCGGGGAGGGCTTCCGTGTTGCTGCAGCAAAGCCCGGCGAAGACATCCTGTACACAGCTGGCTACACGCTCTTTGAAGGGACATGGGTTGCTGGTGACGAATACCAGATGTCCTGGGACCTTAGTGCCTTGAGCGGTTTCAACGTGCCCGTCAAGATGACCGACACGGCCACGGGGGCGGAGAAAGCCAACCTTGCCAGCGAGACCACTTGCGGCAAGATTCGCGGCGGAGTTTTTCCGTGCGACTATGGCCAGAAGTGTGGAACCCGAGGTGAACATGCTTACTTCCCCGATACGTGTCCCGGATGCACCAGTTCCTGCTGCGACCATATTCCCGGTGGCCCAGCGGGCGGAGATTGCGGCGGTTCGAACTTTGACCCCATGACGAGCCCGGCGACGGTCACCTTTTGCTGATGGGGTTCCAATCGCTTTAGAATGGAAGGCACTAGCCAGTCACAGCAACATGACTTGGCGACCCTCGTGCTTTTGCCAGAGGCTCTCTCGTTTGTTATGATTCGCGTTTAAATTTTGTGAGCGGCATGACTACAAAAGCTTGTCGCGTCAGCTTTTTTCCCTCGGCAGAAGGGGGCTCCCGAGCAAGATCGAGCAAGAGGCGATGAACAAGTGATGCTGGAACTGTGCATCCCACGATTATCACGAGTACATAGCCCGCGCAGTGGCCCCCCCACATTTCCTTAGAAGCCGGAACTGACGTGGTATGAGGTGACAACATGTAGCCGCAACCATCCGCAACCTGAAAAGTATTGAAAAGTTGATGCCAGGAGAGGCTCAAAGCCAAGTCTGCTCCGGGGAACGGAAGCCGCCCGCGGAGAAGCTGCTGGGATGGCAAGACATACAACAGTATTTCAAAGCCTGCAAGAAGTGGTGGGTATCAGATGGCCAGGCCCGGCTAGGCTAGGCCCGAGGGCTCCATGTGTCCCCATTCCCGACAGGACGCTCCGTTGGCGACGAGGTGCAAGACCTTGTGGAGACACTCGAAGCTGAGGACAGGGGTGGCAGATTTCGGATATGCTCGAAGTCAGTGGCCACGGAACAAGCGCTTCAAGACCACCCCAATGATGGCAGTTCTGCAGAAGTTCTGCACTTGATGAGGCGAGCCAAAAGCATGCAGCCGCAGCAATCTCAGCCTTGCCCCTGTGCCCTCAACGCAGTGGCCCCCCACATTTCCTTAGAAAAGCCGGACCTGATGTGGCATGAAGTGACATGATGAAACCGCAACCATCCGCAACCTGAAAAGTATTGAAAAGTTGATGCCAGGAGGGGCTCAAAGCCAAGTCTGCTCCGGGGAACGGAAGCCGCCCGCGGAGAAGCTGCTTGGATGGCAAGACATACAAAAACAAAGCAAAGCCTGCAAGAAGTGGTGGGCTGCATGTTGCATGCTTGGGGCTGTAGTCGGAGAGACAGATGGCCAGGCCCGGCTAGGCTAGGCTCGAGGGCTCCATGCCCCCATTCCCGACAGGACGCTCCGCTGGCGACGAGGTGCAAGTCCTTGTGGAGACACTCGAAGCTGAGGACGCGGGTGGCAGACTTGGGGTATGCTCGAAAGTCACTGCGCAGTGACCCCCAAAAGCATGCAGCCACAGCAATCTAAGCCCCTGTACCCTCAACGTTGGAATTCCATAGTTGCTGTTGGCCCGCTGGCCCGCTTGAGTTGCTCCTAGCCCTTTGATGACCATTATTATTATTATTATTATCATAATAATAGTTTTAAGAATATTATTATTATTTTATGAAATACTGTTCTTATTATTATGATGATGATTATGATGATTGTGATTACTATGATGATGATGATGATGATTATTACTATTATTGCTTATTATTATTATTATTATCATGATGAATGATTATCATGAGTAAGTATTATTAATTACTTTCCCGCAAAATCTCTGAAGGATCTCAAAGCCGCAGCAACGACACCTCCTTCATTGGATCTGACGCAGCCGAAACGTGCGCGAAAGAAAATGTGATCCAACGTGCGAGAGGCGCATCGGGGGACTCCGGAGAATTTGTTCAACTAGAGTCCTTTTTCACAACGTTCGTCAGCCTGCTAAGGCTGTGTATTCTGCGAACTGTCCTGACCCCGGACATTTTGGGCGTCGGCAGCTCCCCCAAAGTTGGTTCACGTGATGAGTACCATGGCAGACGCTCGCATACGCTCGCCAAACCTCACACTAAGCTCACAAAACCCTAGCCAGAAGCTTGAAAGCGCGAGCGTGTGCGGGTTGTTGGGAGGATGTTTATGCGGAGAGTCGGCCCCAAAGTTTCCGCTTTAGGGTTTAGGGTTTAGGGTTTAGGGTTTAGGGTTTAGGGCTGAGGTGAAGAGCACGGGTGCCTCCTATGCCTTGTGGTCGCACGGGAAGCTGGCGCAAGCCGCAGGCGGCCGAGATTCCGAGCTGTTTTGCTTGGGGGGTTTAGGGTTTAGGGTTTAGGGTTCAAGGGTACCCCCCCCCCCATTTTGGGAAACACTCGTTTGAGTCTTGTGGACAAGAACGTGGCCTTCTATCAGCAACTCAAGTTGGGAAGTTGATCGTCGGCGAGTCGTAGCCTTCGATGGACGATGTCTTATGTGTGCTGATGTGTGAAAACCTACTTCCCTTCTTGCAACCGGCCAGTTGCAGACAATCTCAGCTAGACCCTGTTGCCAAGGGTTGGGGGGGTGGGGGGGGGGGGGGGGGGGGGGGGGGGCAGGGGCGGGTCACGGACTTGCTTGGTTCCTTGCTTGCCCTGCAGTCTGCGGCAAAGTGCCCAGAAGTGTCGCGAGGCCTCCCCTCGGAGGTGATCGATGCACTGCAGCGTGGTGAGGATCTCCAGCAGGCCACTTTAGCAGTTCTTCCCCCGCAGTTCTTTGAAAGACGTTGCAGCAATCCGAACATGTCCAGAAAGCTCCTCGAGGGAGCTTCGTTCAAGACTGCGAGCAAAATGAGCTCGGGAGGTTTGGCAGTCCAGATTTACGCAACGTACCCTTCTTTGCAGCTGTTGTTTTGGGGGGCGGGGAGGGGGGGGTGGGGGAGCGCTGTGGGGCACCTTCGGACATGGCGACCTGTGAAGCATGCCGGGCTTTCAGCATGGTGATCGATGCTGCTGGTGAGGGGTTTTAGCCAGGTCCGGTCCAGTCGCATTCGGCTTCCTTGCATGTAGGCGTGGCAGGTATATGGCGCTCGCTACGTAAACATGCATGCGGGCGGTCGCCACCGAGCCGCCGTGAAACTTCTCTGTCCAGCGTGCTGGGTCCAAACGCCTGAATGACTGCAAGGGGTCAACGGAGAGTTCGCGTTTGTACGCGTGCCAGGTGCGTGTAAGTTTCCTCATTGTCCTGCAGCCACAGTATTGGTACCTCGTCCAGGTGAACAAGTGCTTGCAGAGGGAAGAGCAAGCAGTCCGGCCCTTACACAAAGCGAGTGTCGCTTGCAGACGCTTTCACTAAGTCGAGCTGATAAAAAGCGCACCGCAGTGGCCGAAACGCACCTTCATGCTGTCAGGTGTGGGGGCTTGAGGGCTTGTAGGGTTTGGGGGACCCTGTTGGGCCAGATTCTTGGGCTTGGATCCGGGCAAGGCACTTGCGCTTTGTGACGATCTGCTGCGGCCGGGCATGATGGTCAGTGAGGAGCCTTCATTCGGATACTGTGGCGATCCGGACCAGACGCTTCCTGATCCCGAACCCTCTCCCTGACCCCCTAAACCCTAAACCCTAAACCCTAAACCCTAAACTAAGTGAGGGGTCGCTTCCGTCGAGCGACAGACCCCGAACGCTCGGCCGAGGGCCTTACAGCCCGAGCGCCCAAGCGAAAAGAGAAACGGAAAGGGTGAGGGTTAAGCCTCACCGTCTGTCCTGGACAGGCCAACGGACATCGGCCTTTTTTACGACAACGTCAGTACTCGGCTAAGGGATGGCCGGCACCCAGACCACCTTTAGCGTAGCTAAAGTATAACCGCAAAGCGTAACCCTTTGTCTGTGGAGGTCGGTTCAGGGTTTTGGGTTCAGGGTTTGCCGGGCCCCCCCCCCCGGCGGCCCCCTGGCCCCTGGTGGCTGGATTCCTGGAGCAGGAGGCTGGCCAGAGGTCCTGGCAGGCTGGTTGGCCAAAGACCCCCTCCAAATTTTTCTGGGGGCCAAGGGCCCCCCTGGGCCAAGGGCCCCCCGACCCAAGAAGGGCTTCCTCGGTGAAGGGCCCCCGGGCCAACCCCTTCGGGGCGGACTTAACAAGGGCTTTCTTGAGACCAAACGTTGGAATTCCAGGGTCCAGGGCTAGAGGAAGGCCCCCCCGCGCCAAAGGGCCCCCGCGCCAAGAGGGCCGTACCATCCAATGAAGAATGTTTTTTTTTTTTTTTTTTTTTACTGGAATGGATGGTTTTGCGCGCCCCTCCATTGTGCACCAGAATCGCCAGGAAAGCCCAGGAAGCCCCCAACAAACGCCAAGAGCCACCAAAAGGCTTCAAAAGCTTAAAAGGCCCCCTAAAAGAAGGGCACAAGATTTGTCCGTGCCCGCAATGAAAAACCCGAAAAGGACCAGGAAAGCCCAGGAAGCCCCCAAATCAGCAAGGGCCTCTACGGGCCCTGACGTGCCGAAGGCCCGAAAAGGGCCGAGTACCCCGAACCCCAGCTTAAACCCTAACACCGCAAAACCCTGCGAAGGCCCTTATTTGCCTACGTGCCCTAACGTGCCGAAGGCCCGAAAAGGGCCGAGGCTATCCCGAGCCCCAGCTTAAACCCTAGCGATTGAAATACGCATTGGCGAAAAAAATTAATAGGTTCCCTGACCTTCAAATGAATAAAGCCTCTACGGCCCCTGACACGCCGAAGGTCCGAACAGGGCGAGAGACCCCAAGAGCCACCAAAAGGCTTCAAAAGGCCCCTAAAAAGAAGGGGACCCCAGGATGCCCGTACCCGCAATGAAAACTCCCGGAAGGGCCAGGAAAGCCCCCAGGAAGCCCCCAAAAGGCCCCCAGAGGACCTTAAAGAAGGGGAATCCAGGAGCAGGCACAAAGGGTTTTTCTGACCTTCAAAGAAATGAGGGCCTCTACGGGCCCTGACACGCCGCAGGCCCGAAAAGGGCCGAGGCTACCCCCAACCCCAGCTTCAACCCTAACAGCGCAAATTTAAAACCATCAAAGCAAGCATCAGGGCACAAGAAAATAAATTCCATAAACCCTAAACCCTAACAGAGTATAGTTTGGGTGGCCGGGGTGGGTTGACGGGCAACGCGAGCGCGCGGCCCGGGGTGTTTCACACCCGAGCGCGCGCCCTCCCCTGAAACACCCTAAACCCTAAACCCTAAACCCTAAACCCTAAGCCCTAAACCCTAAACCCTAAACCCTAAACCCGGTTGGTCTCCTGGTTACTCTTGCAGGTGTATCATGGCTTCCGTGAGAAACAGGCTGCACCCCCCCTGGATCCAAAAACCGAGCCCCCAAGATAGTACCCTATACTACTCTGGGTCATTCTTCGGAGCCCTTGAAGGGATCCGCTTTTTTCATCCTCCCAGGGGTCTGGGTCCAAAACATGGAAACATGGTATCCGAACACCAAAGTCAGCTTCCGAGTCATGGTTTCCGAAGCAGGGTGGGACCCGATTGGGCTCTCATCGAAGCCTAGATCTCGCTCCCCTCCTCCCCCCCCCCCCCCCCCCCCCGGCCTGTGAGCGTGATTTACAGGCCTGCGAGTCAGCTAAAGTTGAGCCCTCCAATTTCCGGCCGGAAATCCTCGGAACCTTGTGGTCACCATCACTCCCAGAGCCTGGGCTGTAGTTGCCGTGGGGTTTAGGGTTTAGGGTTTAGGGTTTAGGATTTAGGGCTTAGGTAGGGCTTAGGGCTTAGGGCTTAGGGCTTAGGCTTAGGGTTGAGGGTGAGCTTGCAGGAGACTTACGCAGCTGCGGTGGCGCAGTTGGGAGAGCGGCGCACCTTCGAGGTGTCTGCTACCGTGGGCTTCTACTTGCTCCTCAGCAGGGTTCCTCAGAGCTGGACCCCCAAACCCTATACCCTACCCTAAGCCCAAAACCTAAACCCTAAACCCTAAACCCTCAACCCTCAACCCTCAACCCTCAACCCTCAACCCTCAACCCTCAACCCTCAACCCTCAACCCTCAACCCTCAACCCTCAACCCTCAACCCTCAACCCTCAACCCTCAACCCTCAACCCTCAACCCTCAACCCTCAACCCTCAACCCTCAACCCTAAACCCTAAACCGTAAACCCTAAACTTTAAACCCCCCAAACCCGTGTATCCCGCAGCCCTGGGCTTCAGCTGACAAGCGCGCCCAGCGCCGGTCATGCCATGCTTCGGCACCCTGGCCAATGATTTTGTGGCCGGTGTTGGGGTTTAGGGTTTAGGGCTAGGGTTTAGGGTTTAGGGTTTAGGGATTAGGGTTTAGGGTTTCGGGTTAGGGTCAGATTTTGTGGCAGGGGGGATGGTGGTGCAAGAAAGGGTGTCGGGGTGTTGGGGTTTAGGGTTAGGGGTTTAGGGTCTTTGGGTTTTTGGGGGTTGTTGGGTTTGGGGGGTGGTTGGGTGTAGGGTTTCTTCGGCTTGGGTTTAGGGTGTATAGGGTTCTATTGTAGGGCCTACCGGGACTCAGAAGTGTATGCAGTCCCAGGTGAAGTTTTTCGAGACCACAAGATGAATCACCAGCCTGGCTTTCTAGGGTCCAAAGCCGCCCTTTGGCATGAAGCCCTGAACCCTAAACCCTAAACCCTAAACCCTAAACCCTAAACCCTAAACCCTAAACCCTAAACCCTAAACCCTAAACCCTAAACCCTAAACCCTAAACCCCTGATCCCCCGAAGCCCTAAACCCCTGAACCGTAAACCCCCGGACCCCCAAACCCCAAACTTACTGTTAGTTGAGGGAAGGAGGTGCCCTATATCCTCCTACATATGCCCTTTAAGGGATTATACTGGGCACCTACCCTAAACCCTAAACCCTAAACCCTAAACCCTAAACCCTAAATCCCAAACCCCAAACCCTAAACCCTCAACCCTAAACCTCATTCCCTCACCCAGCAGCAAGTAGACCAATTTAGCCAAGCAAGGCTTCTGGTGAACCTAGCGGCTGCCAGCGCTGCTTGGGTGGCACGCGCTTGAATGCGCACTGCATTGGGGTTCAAGGTTGAGGATTCTGGGTTCAGGGTTTTAGGGTTTAGGGTTCAGGGTTTAGGCTTCTAGGGTTCAGGGTTAGGTTTCTAGGGTTTTAGGGTTTAGGGTCTGGGGTTTTAGGGTTGTAAGGTTCAGGGTTTTAGGGTATTCGAGTTTCAGGGCTTTAGGGTTCAGGGTTTAGGGTTGAGGCGTCAACGCATGGGGGAAGGGCCGTGTGCCGAGGCCGCTAGCGTGTGCCAGGACGACCTTACTACACCTTTGACCGATACCCACGCCTCTTGCAGAATTAAATTTTCGTTTGTTTGGGTGGGGGGCGGGGGGTGGGGGTGGGGGTGGGGGGGGGGGTGGGGGGGGGGGTCTACTTGGGGCTTATGTGTTTTGGGGTTTCGGCTTCAAGTTTCCAGGTTTTCGGGTTTGGGTTTTTTCGGGTTGGGGTCTAGATGTTTAGGGTTTAGGTTTTTGGGGTCGCTGGCAATTGGTGGCCGCGAAATCCACGGTTGCCCGGAAGAATTCAAAACAGCCGCGAACCATGACGAACCAGTTTCATGCCAGAGGCAAAGCCCTATAAACCCTAAACCCTAAACCCTAAACCCTAAACCCTAAACCCTTAAGCCTTAACCCTAAACTCTAAACCCTAAACCCTAAACCCTACACCCTAAACCCTTAAACCCTAAACCTCAATCCCAAACCCTAAACCCCTGAGCCCCAGAACGCCTGAACCCCTACACCATCACGGAGCAAGGCAGCGGGGTCCATATTGCTACAGAGCTCCCAGAGCAGGGCCGGGCATACCGGCATCTTGGAAAAACCAGGCAAAAGCACTAAGGGTCTGGGGTGTTTATGGGGTTTGTGTTTATTTATTTTTTTATATTATTATTATTATTATTATTATTATTATTGTTTATTTGTTTTTTTTTTTTTTTTTGTATGGGGTTTGTTTTGGGGTTTGTGCGGCTTCTTAGGGCTTCTTCAAGGTCCTAGGGTTTATGTAGGGTTGATAGGGTCCATATCTAGGGTTAACAGGCTTGGTAAGACCTAATTACATAAGATGTTTTCGCTTTGCCGGATTGGCCGTTCTTGAGGCACTTAGAGAAGCATGGAGTGGCCTTTGCTGAAAGCTGCGCAAGCACGGCAAGCTTTGACCAAGCCGGTCTGATAGTTGGCCGCGAACATCCACATATATTCGTTGTTTTTTTGAAGCCCAAGTCCTAAACCCTAAACCTTAAACCCTAAACCCTAAACCTCTGTGGGGGTCGAGATCAGGGGGTCAGAGCAGGAACCTCGAGAACATGTAGACATGACGGGCAAACTGCTTGCTGCTCAGCCAAGCTTAGGCCTTGGGGTTTAGGGTTTAGGGTTTAGGGTTTAGGGCTACATCAACTTTATTCCAACAGAAAACAGGGAGCCAGGTCTTGGAACCAGGGGAGCATGCCAAGGCGGGATCGTTAGGTTTTTGTTTTTAGGGTTTAGGGTTTAGGGTTCGTTAGGTTTTTGTTTTCTGAATCCAAGACTTGGAAATGGCCGCCGGTCAGCACCTGACACTGGAGAAGAATTCCCTCCTGATTGAATATCGTAAGCATGGTACCCTGCTTCCAAGGTCGGCACCGCAGAAGGATGGGTGGTTATGCCCTCTAACCCCTTAAAGCGGCCCTTCTAGGGCTGATGCCCATCCTGGCAGAAGGGCAGCTCTTTTTGTAACCCCAAAGCCTGCCCCGACGGTGTCGAGGCCAGCCCTTGGACGTTCGAAGTGCGCCCAACACTTCTCAGCCTCAGAGCGAGGCATCTTGGCGTTGGGGAGCATGCAAAGGGGGGGGGGCAGTGTAGGAGTGAGGGTTCAGGGCTTAGGATTTTAAATGTATTGGGGGGGGGCCGGTGCCGGGGGCGGGGGGAGGCAGGAGCCTTCTGGAGAGCGGATGTAGGTTCGTGCACTCGACGTTTATGTGCAGACACCCTGCGCGCGCCCTTGGCCAGGATGGCTATGTTTTTCTACCGTGGCAGATGCTTTTCCTCCTTCAGGGCGACCGTGCTGGGCCCAGGGGCCAGTTTCGGCTTCCCTTTGCTTTAGCGGGGCTTTCTCAGATGCACCCTAAACCCAACTTCCCTAAACCCAACTTCCCTAAACCCTAAACCCTAAACCCTAAACCCTGAACCCTGAACCCTGAACCCTGAACCCTGAACCCTAAACCCTAAACCCTGAACCCTGAACCCTGAACCCTAAACCCTAAACCTCTTGAAATAAGGTCAGCTCCTCTGGGAGAGTGACGGTGATGCACAGCCAGGATACGAAGCAGGCGCAAGAAGTACCAGGGTTTAGGGTGTTAGGGTTTTGGGTTTAGGGTTTTAGTGTTTTTAGGTTTAGGGTTTTAGGGTTTAGGGTTTTAGGGTTTAGGGTTTAGGGTTTAGGGTTTAGGGCTCCTTCATCAGAACTGGTGGAACATCCAAGTAACTCGACAGGAAGTCGTTCATAAAGCGGTTTGCTCTCTCTCTCTCTCTCTTTTTTTTTTTTTGTGTGTGTGTGTGTGTGTGTGTGTGTGTGTGTGTGTGTGTGTGTGTGTGTTCAAGCAGTTTGTGGAAGCGCTTGTGATGCTCTGCCTCAGCTCATGAAACCTGCTTCTGGGATCCTGTAGCCACTGAACCTAAACCCTAAACCCTAAACCCTAAACCCTAAACCCTAAACCCTAAACCCTAAACCCTAAACCCTGAACCCTGAACCCTGAACCCTGAACCCTGAACCCTAAACCCTAAACCCTAAACCCTAAACCCTAAACCCTAAACCCTAAACCCTAAACCCTAAACCCTAAACCCTAAACCCTAACCCCCCTGGGGCAACTCTCCAAACTTGGACTCGATAGTGGTCCTCATTTTCTGCAGGACCGGTCGCGAAAGCTTGTGAGCCTGTGGGTTTCAATGCCCAGAACTTGTTCTGCTAGGGTGGACCCCGATTTCTTTTTACAGAAAAAGGGTCTTCTTGCAGCTACCTTGCCGGGCAATTTTTTCTTCTGTGTCCTGATCTGTGACCGTGTCCTTCCTCTCATGCACCAGTGCCTGGAATTCGAATTTTGGGTTCTGGGTTCTGGGTTTAGGGTTTAGGGTTTAGGGTTCAGGGGTCGAGGGTTGAGGTTCTGAGGGTTCACGGCTTGGGGTCTAGGGTTTAGGCGCTGGGGGTACAGGCGCGGGAGTCCAACTTCCCTAAGCCCAACTTCCTTCAACCCTAAACCCTAAACCCTAAACCCTAAACCCTAAACCCTAAACCCTAAACCCTAAACCCTGAACCCTGAACCCTGAACCCTAAACCCTAAACCCTAAACCCTAAACCCTAAGCCCAAAACCCTAAACAACCCTGAAACGTTGATTCCCCTGACCCATAGCAAGATGCAGGCTACACGTCGCTGATCATCTGCTTGTCCTGCATGTTGGGCACAGCCGCGAGCTTAATTTCTTGGGGCAGGTTCTGCTGCGCAGAGATTAGGGGTACCTTATTGACGTCCATCTTAATTAAGGGAATCTGCAGAATCCTATTATTTGGGGTCTCTATGTTGGGTCCCTGATTTAAACCCTCAAAACCGAAACCCTAAAATCCTCTGGTGCACCAACTGGGCATTTCCCAAAACAGGGGTACCCCCTAATACAGCCCCAAAATATTTGCCATCTTAATTATTGGAACTCGGAACTCCCAAGAAGGGTACCCCTTTTTCGACTCACAAGGCCTGCCTGTGCTCTTGGAGCATGTGGCTTCTCGAGGATCCAGCCAAGCAAATGCCGCGACCTGGTGCAACAGCAGGCCGCAAGTTGCGAGTTTGGCCGCAAGGTTTAGGGTGAAAGGGTTTCGGGCCAGCTAAGGGTTTAGGGGTTT